GGGTGATCAGGAAAAAGAAAAACTTCCTTCTTATTCTTTCTCTGTTGGTGGGTCGCTATAGGTGCTGCCACGGATGCGTGAGCTTCTTCTTCCTTTGCTTCTGTTGACTCTTTTCCTCTTCCCTATCTCTGCCGTTGCCACCTCAGGTTTGATGCTTCAAACTACTTTTTGTTAATTCCATGTGTGCACATTTTAGTAGTTGTAGTTATAAAAAGTGTCCCTCTTTGCTAGATTTATGTGCGTGGGTGAAATATGATGATTTTAAATTTTGAGTTTTCCTCTTTAATTTCATGAACTATATGAAGTTATGTGTGGTAGAAATCTAAGCAAGTTGAATTTATTCAAGGATTAGCATCCTATAATTATTAGACAGGAATTGTTGGGATGATATTTGCATAGAAGAGAAGAGAAAGAAAGAAAAAAAAAAGATTCATACTTGTAAAATGTTTGATAAAATGCCCTATGAGGGTTTTGCTTGATTATGTATTTCTTTTATTTTTTTATTATTAAAAATAGTGAGAAGTACGATTGTTTTCGGGTGCTGTTTGGTTGAATTTAACTTAAAAATTTACAAGTAAAGATTTATTATAAAATTATTGTGAGACAAATGAAATTCGTGAGTTGTATTCTTGTTGATTTATAAATCATGGTATTGCCTTTATGACTTATTTTGGGATGCCATAAGAGATTCGATTAAATGGGGGAATTATAATATTTTCAAAATATTAGGATGATAAAAATTTAGGTGTGCATGCATTTATATATCTCAATTAAAATTTAGCTATTTGTGCCTGAGACAAATTAGATGGATAAGTATAATATAAACAAAGTCTCGGATGGGAAAGTGTATATATATATACAGTATTATAAGGATCGAAGGATTTAAAGTATAAATTGGATTGATTTAAGAATTTAATGACTATGGAAGAAATCCTTATGTATAGATCCTGATTTAAGAGTTTTAAATTTATTGTAGTTATATTTTTCTTTTGTTAATATGAAAGGAAATTTTAATAGGTTTGTTGAGAGTCCCTTAAAACTCTATTATATGTTAAATAGGAGATTTTGAGAAGGGAAATTGTTGAAGTGGCAAAGAAGATTCATTTAAAGCTGTAAAGGGTGACTTTTAATATTTGAAAATATCACAAATAAATGGATAGCGTCCCAGTTGATTTTTCAATAAAGATTTCCTTTACTACAACAGTCCATTTTTATGCAAATTGTTTTAGTAACAATGATGTGGTTATTGAATAGTTTGTTTATTAAACTTCTTTATTTTGTGAAATCACCTTTATCAGTTTTGAAATGTTATTTGATCAATTAAATTAAGTTTGGACTTTGATTATGATATTTTTATTTTATCCAATATTGGATTGATACAAAGAATGATTCTTACGAGTTTGACTTTGAAATTTTTTTTATTATTCGATAAATGCAAGCATGAGCATTGGATATGAAATTTTATTCTGGCAAGTTTTAATACTTAAAAGTATTCATGCGAGTTTGATTTTGAAAAAGAGAACTGTATCTTGAAAGTGATGATTTTCTCACATGTTTGAAAATGGTTTTAAGAAAGGAACTTTATACAAAACACTGGTTGCTAACAGCACTTCTGTTAGCTCTTAACGCGCCATGGTACACTTAGCTAGTAGGGTGTTCATAGGAAGTGCTAGTCCCGTGCGATGGCCAATGCACATGGAACGAAAGGATGGTTATTCGTGAGCATCTTACTCATGTTTGTTTTGTGGCTTCAAGCCACATTTGATTAGCATTACCCTCGTAGACTCTGTTTTCACATTTGTTTTTATGGCATAAACCGCGTTTGGTTAGTTATCCTTGTGGATTGTGTGTCCACGTTTGTTAATTGTTCTGATAAGTCCCTATAATTATGAATCCAATTATTTTATGATTTTATATTCCATTGATTTTTATTTAGTAATTTTTTATAAATATTTATTTCATTCATGTGTTTCCTTGAAATCAAGTGATATTATCATTTGTTACAATAGTTCAATGATTTGAGATTCTCTTTGAATTTTTATAGAGACATCTTATTATGAAGCTTATGGAATTTTTATGGAAATTTTTGTTTCTTTAACTTACATATCTATTTCGAATCTTTCATTTTATTTATATTCTATTATTTATTATTGGGACGTTATTTACTGGAAAACATATTTTTGGCTTCAGGTAGTATAAGTTGAACTTGTATATCAATGTGTTACTTGAGGCATTCTATCACTAAAATGGAGTTGAAGAATTATTTCAAACAAGTTTTGCTTGATAAAAATTTGAACCCTGTATTCATTTCAGGGACTAGTCCTAACTGCTCCACGTATAATGTAAGTAGGATTTTCATCTTTCTTTAAAAATTGTATATATGTTAGTAGGGAGTGAGATCCTTTTATTTGATTATTATTGTTCTTTGTCATTCATTTCAAGAGGACTTATTTACATGAAAGTTCTTTTAAAAATTTTATATAAAAATAATTTACATGAAAGTTCTTTTAAAAATTTTATATAATAATAATAAATAATAATAATAATAATAATAATAATAATAATAATAATAATAATAATAATAAATATATGCTTATAGTTTTGCATGGTTGAAAGTATATTTGTTCAAGGCTTAAGGGATATGAGTTTTACACACATATTCTGTGCTAGTCATGCCTTAATTTTTGGGGTGTGACACTTGGGATCTTCAAATATTCGAGCATGCATGCTTCCACTCTAACAACACTTCTCTTACTAAACATGTTCCCAAATTAATATAACTATTATTAAACACCAACTTTAAATATATACTTATACTTCTTCTTCTTCTTCTTCTTCTTATTATTATTATTATGGGCTATTACAACTAAATTCGATTACAAGTGAATTTTTTTAGGTTGAAAAGTGGAAAACTAAAGCATGTTTTCAGACAATTTCATTGATTTCTGGCTAAGATTTTTATTTGGTGAAATAGTTAAAAAATTTATATTAATATTCCAATACATCTTTACCTTATATTTTTTTCATTAATAGTAACAACTGAAAATAAAAATCATATAGGAAAATGAAAATCAGCAGATAAAGGGTTACAATTATCTAAACTTTTTCGCCATTGTTTCCAATTGTTTGTGAACTCTTCTAGCCAATGATTTTTGAAGAGATTTAGTAGATGATCCAAATCAGTGTTGCGCATCAAAATCTCAGGACCTGAATTTCTTTCATCAAGGATATTTTTAATAATCTTCAAATTGTTAAAAGTAAGAGTGATATCCATAAAAGTAGGTGGATTGAAGTCATCTAAGTCAGTAACCCATTTAAAAGCATATATATCTAAACTCCTTTAAAAAAGATACCAAAGGATTGCTTTGAATTGGAGATCTGTTTTTTCTAAAATTAAGAAAGATAAAATCCATGTAAATAAGGATTTTGATCTCCCTAATTTTCTGACTAGATCTTTGCATTACCTTCCTGAAGTCTATGAAGAAAAACCATCCAAATCTTTGGATTGCTCTCGCTAATTGCAACTGTCGTGAAAAGGATGCTCTATTTCGGATGAACATTCCTTTCTCTTCGCAAGATAGCACTTGAAAAGTTGAAAGGTGCCATTCTAATTTTTGAATTATCTGCAATGGTTGAGCTTCCTTTGATTGATGCTTAGGTTGATTCCTAGTTTCCCAAATAAAATACATAATCATAAGGATCTCCTTTCAGATGCTCATCATTTTACTTGATTCTGATTCAACTTGATTTACCCATGAAGAACTGAAGCTTTTCATGTTTTCCCAAGTATTTGACTAGATGGAAATATCATAAGCATACCAGATAGCTCTTACAAAAATGACAAAAGAGAAAAATATGATCAAATGTTTCATTTGATCACATAGAAGGGCACTTGGCTGTGATAAGACGACGATGCTTCTGAAGTACATGAGGAGGATAGTCTCATTCATAACTTTCCAATTAAATAGCAATAATCAATAAGGCAAATCTATTTTCCAGAAGAATTTCTAGTTGATCCCTTGTGCAGACTTATTAGCATTTAAGTAATCCCCTATGAGAATCTTGTAACTAGCTTTAACAGAATAAGTGCCTCTGACTGATTTAGTCCATATCAGACGACCATCCTAACTGAAGAATGAAAAAGATGTGCCTATAATCTCCTCCTTGATTCTGCGGCAATAAAGAGAAGAAATATGCTGCTCATCCCATGCTGCTTATCCTTATCAATAAGATTAGCTATGGTTAAACTTATACCTGCCAAGTTGTCTCATAAGGGAGACCATTTTACATGGTCAACTAGAATCTTTGCACTACTAGAAAAAGTCAGGTTAGCAAAGAAATTTAGCGAGGACTTAATTATTTCTCTCTAAATTACTGCATTAGCGAGGAATTTTGTGAGAAAATTTTGCTTCATTTCTAAAAAAAAAAAAAAATTAGTGAGGAAATTTAGTGAGGAATAATATATTCCTCTCTAATTTGTCTAATTAGCAAGGAAAAATAGTGAGAAAAAATATAATCCTCTCTAAATGGTCTAAATAGAAAGGGAATTAGTGAACTAATATGATTCTATCTAATTAGCGAGGAATTAAAGAGGAATTGTCATTCCTCTCTAAAAAGTCAGTAGTAAAATAAAAAATAATAATAAGAATAAAAAAGGTTTTAACTTGTATTTATTTTTTTACAAGTACTTATTTTTCCAAAAAGAATATATTACTTTATATTGTCTTATATATAAAAAAATATTTTCTAAAAATTTATGTTATCTTATATATAATTTTCTCAAAAATATTAAATATCTTATATGTAAATAATTATTTTTACTTTATAAATTATATTTTCTCCATAATTTTATTGACCCATCCCACTCCCTTCAATTTATTTATTTAAAATTTAAACCGAATCTTATTCCCTTCAATTTTCTTTTTTTTTCATATGAACCCTGACCCAATATCAAGTATCAACTCAGGAAACTTTGCCTACTACTCACTACTTGAGTTATTCATTACCAAGCTATACCACATATTGGTATGGTAGGGTTATAACCCTTTCTCAGAAATCCCCTCTTCTTCATCATTATTACCTTCTTGTTCTCTCTCACCTCACCTTCGTGACCTAGCCAACGCCGTCATCATTCGTCGAGCTCTGATCTAGCCTAGAAGTTTGCCTCCACATCATTCTTATCTTCTCAAATTTTGCCTCTCGTTTGTGTCCTTGCGAGCACTATTATCATCCATCAAGCTTCGTCTCCTCCTTTTCACCTTCTTGAATCTTACCTTGCATTCATGCCCTTGTGAGTGCGAGTAAAGAGAGCGCCTCTCATTAAGCAGTAAAGCTCCTCCCTCCCCCAGGTTCATCATCCCAGCCTCCCTGCTCTCTTGGTAGTATGAACTCTAAATCAGATTTAGATCTATATAGCTTACTCCCTCTGGTTTTTGAGATTTTGACTAATCTCTGCTCTGCTCCTCACGGGTATGTCACTGTCTCTTCCCTTTCCCCTATCAACATTCACATTCCATAGAATTGTTGCTGAAGTTCTTTTCTTTGGTTTCTCTTCTCCTTCAATTCATTATTTAAACTGAGAAAGATCATTTCTTTGATATTGAAGGTGGGAGAGAGGAAGAGAATGGAGTAATGGAGGCAGAGAATCTCTAGTTCTTACGACAGCAAATGAAAGGGAATCTTCATCTTATGGCATGGCATGCCTGTGTAAGAAGAAGAAATAGTGCATAGAAACTGTTTCGAATCTCGACTCTAACCATGTGTTAACCCACTCCACCAGCCTACATATGGCTTCTGATGGAAAATTGTGTTGCCTTTCACTGTTTTCTTTCCCAGGCGATGACAAGTTTGCAATTGTTTGTCTCTTTCCTTCTGATGTTATTTGTCGTCTTCACTCTAATTAGTACTTTCTTGCTTTTCATTTTTGGTTTCAAAGCTTGTAATTGAATTAAAGTTGTTTGGAGTTTTGTTGAGTTTTTCCCCTTTATGTATCGACATCTTTGATTCTTGTCTTATTGGTGCGGTATTTTTTACTGAAATTTTGCCTTAGATCGCGAGTAAGTTCTTGTTCATAGTGCTTCTTTGCCAGTTTGATTTCCTTTTGAAATTCCAACAAGCGTGTTTACTTCCTTCAGCTGTGACCAGTGACCACTGTTTCTTACTATTGATTATTACTTGAATTCTATCTATCATTGTTCCAATTATAATTGTCTTCCCTTTTTTGAGTATTTAAATTTGAATTGCAAGTGTCAAAAGGGTGAAACTATTAATTGATTCCTGTCCTGTGCATCCCTTAGTTTCTAATTTTGCTAATTAATATGCTAGTTCTCTTATTGTCTTAAGCCAATTGATATTGAGTATACTTGTTCTCCAATATGTGATAATATATGGCCGAGGCATCATCTTAATAGAATTGGTCTCTTTTGGTTTTCAGCACCCAATACTGTGTAAGGATTTACTAGAACTTATGGTATCAATTATGGGAGAATTGCAAATAATATTCCCTCACCAGATGAAGTTGTTACACTTCTCAGAGCTACAAAAATAAGAAATGTTAGAATTTATGATGCTGATCATACTGTTCTCAATGCCTTCAGTAAAAATGGTCTTGAACTTGTAATTGGACTTCCCAATGGATAGTTGCAAGACATGAATTCCAACTTAGACCATGCTTTGAATTGGGTGAAGGAAAATGTACAGGCGTTTCTTCCTGGTACACGTATTTAAGGGATTGTTGTGGGAAATGAGATTTTTGCTTCTGACTTTAATTTGTGGGGAGCTCTTCTGGTTGCTGCAAAGAATATATACAATGCTACCCAAAAACTCAATTTGGATAGTCTAATTCAGATTTCTATTGCACACTCATCTGTTGTTTTCAAGAACTCCTACCCTCCCTCTTCTTGTAAATTTGCAGATATATTAATCAGTATATGTGTACTTTAAATTGGGTAGGGATTATAATGTGGCAAACTTATATATTGTGTACTTTTAAATTTCTTATGTAGTTCTTGTTTATGGATTGAATTATTTGTTAATAAAAATTTCATTTGTGAGTCAATTGCTTGATTGAATTGGATTTATTTATAAACAAAATTTTGATTCTTACAAAACTAATGTGCAATTCAATGAGGAAATAATGAGGAAATTATTCCTCCCCAATTAAACCAATTTGCGAGGAAATAGCGAGGAATTGGTTCCTAGTTAATTTTAGCAAGGATAGCATTCCTCACAATAGCCATGCTAAAAATATAAGATTAGTGACAAATTAGTGAGGAAATTATAGCCTCGCTACTATTAGTGAGGAAATTAAGTCCTCGCTAATTCCTCGCTAAATTAGTGAGGAAAGCATTATTTTTGCTAATTATTAGCGACCCGTCATTTAGCTATGAATTTAGCGAGGAAATAATTTCCTCGCTAAATCATGATTAGCAAGGAATAAGTCAGATTTAGCGAGGAATATAATCCTCACTAAATCATAATTTTCTTGTAGTGTTGTTCCATCACCAACCTGCCATTTCAAGTTGCCTACAATCAAGTAGGAAACTTTAAGAACATCTTTCATTATTTAGGAGTAATGATTTTTTGGCTTGCATTCTCCCTTTAATATTGTATCAAGATACTTGACTTCCAAAATTCTCCCCATCAAAGAATGGCTATCTGAAAAACCAAATCTCCAATCCTGTTTTGCCAAAAGAGCTTTATTAGTAATATATAAAGTTTTGAGGCCAAACCCTCCAAACTCACTTGAATTGCATAGTTTCTGCCAAGAAATCAAACCATTAGCAAAAGGCCCCCAAAAGAAGTTGGCACACAGATAATCAAGTTTAGATGCTGGGCTCTTCCGAAGTAAGAAACAGAAGACTTGATATATACAAGACGAAGCCATAACAGAGTTAATATGAATTAGTCTACCAGCCTAAGAAAGAAGAGATGATTTCCAATCAACAAGTTTAGTCTGAAATTTATGCAACATTTTCCTAAAAATTCGTTGCTTCTCAATTCCATTATTAATGAACATGCCGAGATATCACTACAATCAAAAACTTGATCTAGAGACAGAATTCAGAGATAGATCAAATTCCGTCTCTAATAGAAACATAATTAAAAACTTAAATGATCTTTTAATTATTTATTTAATTTATTTTTGGAAAAATAATTTAAAAATTATATATACATATTTAGAGATGAATAAAGGAGTATCTAAAATTGTTATCTCTAATGCTGTAGCAAAATACTGTTGGAGACATTTTTCGAGACGACTTTTGTTAGTCTCCAATTAGTTTAAGTTATTTTTCCTATACCTGTTTCTAAATCCACTTTTAAAAATTCCATTGAGACTCTTTTAGAGACAACAAGAAGATCCAAATCTAAGTATTAACAAACCTATCTCCAAAGTTGTCTCTAAAATTTTTAATTTTTTTTAACAAAAATTCAAAAAAGTGTTTTATTTGACCCACGTTTTAAGGAAAAAATATTTGTGATGCTGGATGCAGGATTCGAACAAGGATCTGTGATCGTTTCAAGGAACATGTTTAGCCACCACGTTTTAGTTGATGCATTTGAATTTTTAAGTTATATGAAATTGCGAAATCATTTTAAAAAGTCCTAGTTCAACACTGGTGCAACAGTGGTGTGATTTTTGTTAATCCCTAAATCCTAATTTCTTTTCTCATTCTGGCACGACAGTGGCGCCATTTTTTCCCTCTCATCTTCAAGCCAAAATGTTAGCCCTAGTTCATTTTACTTCTTTCCAAAATCTGAAAAATAGTGTGTTATAATTATTCAACTCACTATTTTGTAATTCTTCCCTCATTCCAGCAAAAATGGTGGTGCATGCTTTTTAATTTGGTTTGCTCTTTAGCTCTCTTCAACACTTGTATGTTCTCCCTTCCATGGATGCTTCTTCTCCTTTTTGCTATTTTTTTCATTTACTCGTATACAGAGAACTTCTTGCTTGTAGTTTTCTATTTTTTTATTTGTACTTGGCTTGGTAATTAATTTAATATAGTGAAATAGTTCCAAATCTAGTCTTCCCTTTTCAGAAACACGAGTCCGTTCCCACACATTTGAATATGGCTTCTGCACATTTGTCTTTTCTTAGTTTCTTTTCATTTTGGCACTTGGTTTTTCTTGGGACTTAGCTTTGTTGCCTTAGGTGTCGGGTTCCTTTCCTTCTAATATAACGAGCATTTTTAAAATAAAAACTTTAGTCCATGACAGTATAAATCACCTAACACTAACACTAGAATTGTGGTAGATAATAATTTCTTTGTATCTAAACCAATATTGGTTGCAACTAAAACAAAAAAAAAAAACAAAAGCTGATACAAAGAGTATTGAATTATATGTAGTAGCTATGAACTATGAACAGAGAGGCAAATTAAATAGGAAGGAGATCGATGAAGTTTCGTGAATAAATTTGTGCGAAACAGTGTAATGCCATTTTTGACATTATGGTATTGCACACTCAAATACACACACGTGCATACACATGCGCGCACACACAAAATTTAACATTTTAAATGGGCTGGGATCCCAAAAGAAATTTCTTGAAAACTATTTAAAATTGTTCCAAAAGGATACACCAATGCTCAGTGGAAGCATTCAAATTGCATATATAACATATAACGAGAAAACAAATGCAAAGCAATGATTTTAAGCAAATTGGGCCATATGCATGGCAACATGTCACATCTAAAATATGAAAGTGATTGGCATGGAATATGAGTATAAAACACATATCCCTTAAACTTTAATTCAAGAAATTTTTCTATTTTTATAATTGTAATTATATTTGTATTGGATTTAGGATATCTTAGTTTTTTTTTTCAAACAAATGCATTAATATTTTATAAAAATTTTGATGGAACCTTTTATGTGAATAGAACCTCCCAAAATTCTACGTAACAATTTTCAAATAGAAAATTTCAACAACCAAGAGCTCTACTCCTTTCCACCAATAAACAAGGTATATAACAAAAATTAGGACCCTAACTACAATCTATGTGGAGCACCTAATCATATTTTACATGACATACTACATAAATTTCATATTTACATCAATAGGAGATATTTACACAACCAACCTCCACTCAGCTTAGCAAAAAATCCCTCAATGGTTAGCAGAATGTACAACATTAGCTATGCTATCTGATATCAAAATAACTTTTCAGTGAATGACGTCCCAACCATAACATTTTTTTTAGAATAAAAATGAACAGAATACAATAGTTATATAAATTAAATGAGAAAACAATTCAATGTAAACAAATATGCAAACTTGGAATAACTTCAATAACAATTTAAATCTATAATACAAAGTAGCTTTAACATTTAATCTTGATGCATTAAAATGATTAAATAAATAAATAAAAATAATAATATTTACTAAATTAAAAACCTTTACATATGAAATCACAAATTGATTAAAAATTCATATATTTTTGGAAGATTTATTAGAATAATTTACGAACATAAACACATAATCCACGAGATAAATAATCAAACGCAATTTATGCCACGAAGACAAACGTGGACACACAGTTTAAGAGGATAAGTAACCATACGTAGCTGAAGCCACGAAACAAATGTGGATACACAGACCATGAGAGTAATGCTAACCAAATGCAGCTTGAAGCCACGAAAACAAATGCGAGTACGAGATCTATAAATAACGTGAGAACAAAGCTCATGAAAATCAAACTAGTTAGTTATTGACCATGACGCACTAAGGGCTAACAAGATTGTCGTTAGCAACTAGTGTCCTATGTAAAATCCCCTACGAATTCATTTTCAAACATATGAGAAAATCATCACTGTGAAAATATAATTTCTATTCTCGAAATTAAACTCACATGAATAGTCTTAAGTTTCAAACTTGCTAGAATAAACTTTTATAACTAATGTTCATGCTTGCAGTTATTGAGTAATCAAACATTGCCAAAGATAGTAAAAATAATTTTTATCAATCTTGAAAATATATATCATAAGGAGTAATATATTCATATGACACAATGC